TTCTCATATGTCCTGATCCAGTCTTGGCATTTCATTGGGTCCCTAATACCTTTAAATTTTTCCTGCTTAAGTTAGATGAAATGTTATGATTGACCTAGATATCATTGACATACTGTAAAATTCACCCTTTTACAATGCAGTGATTATTAGCAGACTCGCCAAGTCAGGTGACCATCATTACAATCTAATTTCAAACACTTATTACCCCAAAGGAATATATATATATATATATATTCATTAGTGGTTTCCCATGTCTTTCTCTCCTTATCCCTATAATTACTTACCAAATTTATTCTTTAGGGACTTAGTTATGCTGCATATATGTCATATAAGTGAAATTATAGGCTATGTGGCCATTAGTTTCTGGGTACTTTTCTCTGGGTAGGATGTTTCCAAGTTCATTCAAGTCTAGTGCAGGTATCATACTTCATTTCTTTGGATGTCTGCATGTAGAACTTACATATAGAAAATATATACATGTGTTCACCTATTCCCTGGGTGTCAAACACCTGGGTTGCTTCTACTGGTTGTCTCCTATGAACAACACTGCCATGATTACACATTTGGTTGTGGTGTGCAGTCTCAATTCTTTCCATCAGTATGTAGTAGTGGAATTGCTAGGATATAGGATCACCGTATGTTTCACTTTTTGAGGTGCTGCCAAGCCACTTTTCAAAATAGCTATATATATTTTCATTCCCATTGTCCCTAATTATATTTGAAGGATGAGTGGGTTTTTTGGTTGGTGCCTACAGGAAGTGAACGTGCCCATAGTACTCTTCAGTATGCAGGCAAATTATGTAGATATACACACACAGAGAGCCTATGCTTCCACATTTACGAACTCCTGGAATGACACATCCACCTTATCTTTTGATCCCACACAAAGCAGGCTCTGTTAGAGCAGAAATTTACCTAGATCTCTTTTCAAATTGGGAAGATATGTTGGCAAAAGACCAAGAATGAGATTTAGATGATATACTATTGCACAAGATCCTTCTATACTTTTTTTTATAAGAGTTTAGTCATAACTCCCTGAATTCTATGTTACTTGTGACATCATGGTGTACTGAGGATACACACTCCCAGCTGGTCTGCAATTCATTTCCTAAAATCCAGAAAAATAGTTAACTTCACTATTCTACCTTGCTAGCTAATACTAGAAGTCAACCCAATTTTGAAGGGAAAAAACCAGCATGTGACCAGTGTCTGCCAGCTAGCAAAAGCAAGTTAGCTACTAGCAGATTTCTGGTATTAGAGCACGCAGACAGATGATTGGAAGCATCAGGTCAGCAGCCACCAGTAGCTGTGACTCTTAGCTTTCAGAGCAGCATCCTCTAAGCCAGAAGCGAAATTTTTTCTGCTTCAGAGGCAATTAAAGAACAAGGGAATGTTGGTGAGATGCTGAGAAGATCTGCTAAGATCAACACAAGCTTATATTTTTGGTAATGTGACAATGAGATAGCTTGAATTAAAAAAAATAAATTTCTTCCTATTTAAGAAAAGGGTTTGAGATTTTTTTAATTTTACCATACTTATAAACAGATAAAGTGGAACTATGTGATCTGGAGAGTACATGTCAAAAAGTAAGACCCAAGCTTTCCCTAGATAAGTGGGCAGGACTGAGAGTGGAGGTCCCCGTGGTAGGGATGGCTCTGTGGTTACCATGGATAGCAGTAGCTCCTTGTGAAGTAGGTTTCAAAGCATGATCTAAAGACTGAGCTCTGGGGTCCTTGAGGCTTTTTCAGGGTGATTTCAAGGAAAACTATTTTCATAAAAATATCAAGAAAATATGTCTTTCTCTTTTTGTTCTCTTTGTCTCATGTGCCACAGTGGAGTTTTCCAAAAGCTATATGACATGTGATGTCGCAAAGGGTTGAATGCGGAAGTAGATATGAGATCCAGCTTCCTTCTGTGAAATCAGACTTTGAAGAGATTTGTAAGAGTGTAAAATAATACCAACCTCCTAATGTTTTTGTTTTGGGAAGCATAATTTAATTCTTAATATGATAAATATCAAATATAATCCTATGAACAAAACCTACTAGAATCCTCAATAAATTTTGAAGAGTATAAAGGAGTCCTGCTTATGAAATTTCAAAGAGGGCCAGGGAGATGACTCAGTGGAATAAGCGCTTCCCTGGCAGGTGCAAGGGCCTGAGTTCAACCCCTGGTTCTACCAAAAAAAAAAAAAAAAAAAAAAATTCAGAGAACTGCTAATAAACATATACAATTTAAATGGGATCCCACATAAAAATAAGTCAATGACTGAAGCCAGGGTGCAGAGCTTCAAACCCCATCAATCTGCCTTTTCTCCTTTATCCCACTCCTAGGGAACAAGGAAGTCCTGGGCTCTTTACAACTCCACAACTTAGAAATCAGTGTTAGCCTGACATCAGCCCTTGGCAAATGAGCAAAAACTGATCCAAGAAAAACATAGTGATTTAATAAAATCATATGATTTACAGATTACTTCTGAGTTTTCCTTCCCCCAGTGAAATCAGCACAAAGTGCCCCACCAGTGGCCCAAAGTCTGTGACGAGGAGGGACAGCACGCGTGCCTGCACTGAAGTTGACAGCTCTTCTCTAGGCAGAGAAACAGAGTCACAGGCCCCAAGCTCCTTCCCTTCCCTTGCCAGAAGAAACTTTCTTATGAAAGTTTGCTTAAGGAACTTTCTACTTCTGCACAGAAGACTGACATCTTGAGCAGCTGGCTGCTTGCAAGCACCGAGTATACTGTGCTTTACACTTAGAATTTTTGAAGAGTAGATTTTAAGTGTTGCCACCACATAAGTTGATAAATATATGGATATGATGGTTAACTTTACTCATTCTACACTGAATAAATATAGCAAAACAATGTTATATACCATAAGTATATACAATTACTTGAAAAGCCAAAAGTGAATTTACGAGAGGGGGACAAGCAGGTGCATAGATTTCTTGACAGCAAGTGCTACTTGGGCAGGGCTGCTAGGCTGGTGGGTGGGAGTTGATATGTCTTAGTCTGAGAGCTTTTGAACTACATAACTCAGACTTCCATGGTGTAATTTGGGGACTCTTAGACAAACATAGGAAAAACACCTTTTATTCACTAATCTTAGCATTTCCTGAGATGATGACGGTAGATAACAAGAACACAAGTCTTAGCAGACCATATGTGCTTGTCCAAGAATCACAGATACTTGCATAACGTTAACATGAGATTAGAATAGCTATATTAAATATTATTTAGATTGACAATTACATTGAAATCACAGTGTTCTTGGTTATACTGAAAGATTTTATTTGATATTTTAAAAATACACCATATATTGCTGTCAAGCTTTAAATGAATAAGTAAATTTTAATCTCTTGGAATAGATGGAATTCTCTTTTATACATTTATAACGTTTTCCTAAGGAGAGATCCCATGGGTGCTATGAAGCCATCTACAGAGTCCCTGAGACTACAGAAGTCCCCAGTTACCACATCCCTCACTCAGGGTCTTGGCCCTCAGGGTTGGCTAATCAGGAAACTCCTTCTTGAGTGCTTTGGGCAACCAGAGCTAACTTATGCCACACACCCCTGCTGGTAACAAAGAAAATTTCTAAAATATGAGGTAAACACATCCATCTCTGTAGTCTTTCTGAGTTGGTTAGAGGAGATGGGCAAATTCCCCATCCTTTGGATAAAATCATTCCCAGGGTTGCTTTTCCAGGTTCCTCAGCCAAGACCCTCATGTAGAGGACCCTTAATTTGATAGTTAGAGCATAAGCTAGTTTGATAATGGAAAAGTGCAACACTGCAATTGCTTCCAGCTAAAGTTACAAGTACAAGGGCCTCTTGCCAGATAAGAAAAGACATGGAGTAGACACTCATTTGAAATGTATCATTTTTCAAATAACACTAAAAGTAAATGTCTCTGAAACATTATTATATAATTTCTTTACCCCAAATTTTAGTCATCTAGTGTTTTAAACAATAGTGTTGCAACTCATTTTGGCCAGAGTCACTACTCAGCCAAATATTATACAGTAACTGGTCCACGCCCAAAGAACAGTCCAAGAACATGCTTTCACAAATGTGAGACACGTGAAATACTATTCACAGAGATGTGAGGAAAGGGGCGACTAATCAGAAACCATAGAATGGCTGAGTTTGCTGAACAAGAAGAGGCCTTAACATGCAGTGAAATTACCCACGGACAGAAGATTACAGCATTTAAAATTTCTTGCAAACTCATTTATTTTTAAATTTATTTATTTTCATTTTCTCTGGTATAAATTGCACATATTTGTATGAAATGTGGTTATATACATTAGGCAGGGCAGAGAAATAAGATATATGTATTCCAAAGCACATCTCTGTAAAAATAAATTATTTTTACATCCAAACTCTGTTTCTTCAGCTTTGCCTGCTTGACTCCCATCCTGTTCTCTCGTGCTGATGACGTCCCCTCTTCCCTCTTCTGAGTGCAGTGGCTTTCTTCCTCTTCTCCATGAGGTCACTGTTCCTGGTCACTCATGGTCATGAGTCATCATCTTCTGCTACCTCAGCCCCTCCCTGCTCACCTCTCCTACCTTTCCTTCTCCTAACATCATGCTGTAGAAGGTTGCTTCCTCCTCCCTATAATTAATGATCAGGTTTTCACTCTGGACTATCCTGAGGCCTTGGTTAGCTTCAGGACCAGGAGTTGTCACAGCAAGACTCTGTTGTGCCTATAGCAGGTGAGGGGCCATTCCACGATCATAGATACAGGAACATGGACATACACACTCCATCCTGGGCCCAGCTCAGCTCCTGTAAGTGTCCTGTGATGAACCTTCTGTATTATACTAATCACTCAGAACACTAAGTAACCATAGATTTTTTTTTCCCCACACAACTCTACTGCCTATCCCTCAGAGCAAATATTTAACCACTAGGTTTCACAAACTATACAACAGAATCAGTAAAATATTTTATCCATACTGAGCATGATCCAACAATCATTATAGTTAGGATGTTGCCCTAAAAATTTACAGAGAGCTTCTCCATGTTAAGGAAATGAAATCTTGCAGGCTGATGCCTTTGCTGGTCACATCAATGCTTAGCACCTGTTGGGAAACAATGGAAAAGCGTTGGCGTTGGCTACCTGAACTTTCCTGCGCACAAATAAATCAGGTGCCTCACAACTCTGCAGCACAATGACACACAGACAAATCGGAGAGGACACCTACTTTCCACTTTCAAGTGCTGATTTTCCTCGGAGCACTCCTATTATTTTCTGTTTTCCTATTCCCAAATAACACCTGAAAGGATTTAATATTTCTGCTTTTTGCTAGGCAAACAATTCCCAGAAGTTCTCACTGTATGCACGTGTTGGACCACAGGTCACTCTATGAGCTGGCTCACAACAGAACTGGGCAAAGTCCATTCAGACCTCTCAGTGAAGCTGGGGACATCGGGTACCAGGAAACCACAGGATAAGGAAGTAAAAGTGGGAAACTAAGAGCAACTTTGTTTCAGGCCTAGAAATCACAAAGGACTGTGTTCAGAAAATATAAAGTAAACTCACAGAAGCAAGGGTCTCAGTTACCGTCAGGATAATAGGTGTCCACACCACACTACTATATTAATACTGAAGTATAACTTTTTCTCATATCTGACATCCATCAAATTAGAATGTGTCTTGTAACCAATAGCAATTAGAATTTCTATGAGCAATGCGAATGATATAACTGTCATGGTCTGTGTGGTGTGAACTTCACTGCTATTATCAGTATTCTAAGTGGATGGATAATCATTTAAAAATGATCTTAGGATCTGGGCATGGTGGCACATGCCTGTAGTCCCAGCACTTGCTAGGCTGAAGCAGGAGGATCACCATGGGTTTGAGGCCAACCTGGATATAATGAGTTCAAAGTCAGCCTGAACTACAAAATGAGAATATATATTAGTAAGATCCTCAAAAAACAAAAAAGATTATTTTATTTTAGGAAAAATTGTTAGTAAAGATAGCACTCAAATAAAAAATTGTATAAAGCACATTAGTGGTTTGGGGAAATGTTGTATATAGGTAATAGGAGAAAAGTTTTTATGAAATGTAGAATGATCAACACCATTGGTAGTAGAAATATCTTAACTAAGTTAAACTACACATATTTCTTTTAAATAATAAAATTTGATTATAAAATAACAAAAATATTATAATAAAAGTCTAAATAAGATAATATTTATTACAAATTATTAAGGTTATTTTAAAAAACTTGGGTTATAGGAAAATATTATCTCATGATTACATCATTCCTTTGCACAGCAAGCATTTCTAGCTGATGGTATCTTAATACTTGAAAGATAATAGTTCAAATTGTTTGAAAAGATAGTCTCTGAGATGGCAAGAATCAATGTACAATGCTTCATCCAGGTTTACAGACAAGAAGGCCAATGTGGAAAATAAGAATACAGACCTTCAAGTTCAGATGTGGACAAGTCAACAGTTTTCTCCGCATGTCTACACTGTGCACAGCTGACTGAATGTGGAGACTCACGGAAAGAAAGCAGGCACTGCACACGGCGTGGCCGGTGGGGGCCAGCATTAGTCTCTACTGGACACAAACCTGTGTTGCAGGGTTGTAGGTGACGGGGGCTGTTATCACCCCATTTCTCACAGAGATGGTCACGTTGCTGGCAGGCACACTGCCCTCTCCCCAGATCTCAATGTGGCCTAGTTTCAAAGAGTTTGTATCGATGATATAATTGTTTAAAATTACATGGCTTTCCATTGTATTCTGTCAAAGCAAAATCAAAGAAAAAATAACAAAATGAGTTCAATTTTCCCCAATATCTTTTAAGCACAAATGAGGATCCTGACACGGTTGTGTCCTTAACTAGTGAACCCACACTGTCAGCGTCCTAGCCTCCATCATCAGGTCCACCTACTTGGCCTGGGCGCCTGCACGTGCCCCAGCATTGTTCTGAAGCCTTCAGGAGACACAGTCTCCACTAATATTCCACAAGACATCAGACCAATCCAAGGCAAGATAGGAACAGTCCTGGATGATACAGACATAGTCTGCCCATCTATGAAATGTTCAACTGAAATAACTCACTGGCGAGACATGAATAGGCTCAATCACCATAGCTTTCCTGGGAACCAGACCAAGTCTACCTCTGAAATCTGGAGGAAAGGACGGGTGTGCATTAGCACCATGAGCAGGGCAGGGATTAGATGGTTTTCGTATCCACGTGACAAATGCATCTATGACATCAACATAACTGTGCACCCCTTTCTTTGTCAGTCACACTCACCTGGCTGACAGAAAATCTGGCCCAATAATAGAGTCCTTTTTCATAGGAATCTGCAAGCAAACAACAAGGTAAATACAACCTGGACCTGCATGACAGAATTCTAGTCATGTACTAGCCTACAAGGTGAGAGGGATTACTTTTGTGTGTCTGATTATTTCTGCTTTTCCTTCATTGCATAGTTGCCTTTCAGAACCTAAATCTTCCTAAGGATAGTCTAGTCAGCCTCTGGACCCAATCACAGCTCGCACAAAATGTTTGAAGTAAGTGAATCAATGCATGTTTCTGACATAATGATGTTGTATAATGGTTTCCTCAACCTGCTGTACATCACTTCTCTTCCTTGACATCTGCCCCACCCAGCACCTTTCTAGTCACTTCTGATTTCCAGGTTCTTTTTGTTAGATGTACACATGAATATTCACATGGACACTTACACATTACACTAAATACCAAGACAGGGAATCCTGAGAGTTACAAGGCAGTGTTTAAATGTGGTTGCCAGGGAGTTTAGACTAGCCTTTATCTCTGTCCTTTATCTCTAATGTCTGGCTTGTCCAGGGCAAGTACAAAGGAGCTAGCTGTGCTGCAGGCACCTCCATCCTACTCCCTCCAACATGGCTCTCTCACCCTTCCCACGTGCCACTCGCTTCCTAACTCGCTCATCGCCCTCTCAGGCCCAGTGAGTGTCCTCTAGAACTGCTCCGTCCAAGACCAATGCCACAGAAAACCATAGCTATGTCATTTTAAGTTAAATAAACTTAAACTTTAGTTGCTCAGACGCACTTGTCACATTCAAGTACTTGGGAGTCATATGTGACTAATGCCATATTGAACAGCAGAAGGTATAGAACACTTCCACCACTGCAGAGAGTTCTACTGGACAGTGCTGGTCTGAAAACAGCCAATGATCCTTGAGTCAAGCCCCCAAGAGGTTATTAATTCCTGTAAACTTCTAATGCAAAATTTCCCATAAATAGCACAACTAATAGAGACACTGTCTTGCTAGGACAGTAAGCTGTGTAATTATGGAATGTGCTTTTGATCATCAGCCATATAAAATTTATCTCAGCTGGCCACAAAGAAACTATGGTCTGCCAAAACGAATTAGGACACTCGAATACTGGTGACAGATTCAGCAATAAAAATCATTTACCTACAGCCTAAGGACCATGAGTAGTATGGATTATATACTTCAACAGTGTATAATCCAGTGTATAAGAGTTGGCCATACTTCAAAATTCAAAAATGTTTTAACATGGAAAAGGAAAACACAGCAGGTAAGTTTTTTCTTTTCTTTCATTTTTCTTTCTTTCTTTCTTTCTTT